GCGCCCCCCCCCCCCCCCCCCCCCCCCCCCCGAATTCGTCCCGCACCCACCTTGCACCCATCCTGCACCCATCCCCGTAGGCACGGAGGTGGCTGCTGGGGGTCCTGGGTGGGCACTGGGAACAGGGACTGGGAAATCTGGGGCAGGGGCAGCTGAGTAATTTGGGATGGGGATACTGGAAACAGACATGTGGTACTGGGACACCTGGGACTGGGACATCTGGGACAGGGACACCAGGATCACCTGAGACAGGGAGACTCGGAACAGGGACAAGAGGGACTGGGAAACCTGGGACAGGGGCAGCTGGGTCACTTGGGACTGGGACATGTGGGACTGGGACATTTGGAACAGGGATACCTGGGACTAGGAAACCTGGGATAGAGACTGGTGAGACCAGGACACCTGAGTAATTTGGGATGGGGATACTGGAAACAGACATGTGGTACTGGGACATGTGGGACAGGGACACCTGGGACTGGGACACCAGGATCACCTGAAATAGGGACAATTGGGACTGGGAAACTTGAGACAGAAGCAGCGGGGTCACTTGGGACTGGGACACCGGGATCACCTGAGACAGGGACACTGGGAACAGGGACAAGAGGGACTGGGAAACCTGGGACAGGGGCAGCTGGGTCACTTGGGACTGGGACACTGGGAACAGGGAGACCTGGGACTGGGCAACCTGAGATAGGGACAGGTAGGACTGGGACACCTGAGTAATTTGGGATGGGGATACTGGAAACAGACATGTGGTACTGGGACACCTGGGACTGGGACATCTGGGACAGGGACACCTGGGACTGGTACACCAGGATCACCTGATACATGGTCACTGTGAACAGGGACAAATGGGACTGGGACAACTGGGACAGGGGCAGCTGGGTCACTTGGGACTGGGACGTGTGGGACTGGGACACCGGGAACAGGGATACCTGGGACTGGGAAACCTGGGACTGGGAAACCTGAGTAATTTGGGATGGGGATACTGGAAACAGACATATGGTACTGTGACACCTGGGACTGGGACATCCGGATCACCTGAGACAGGGGCAAGTGGGACTGGGAAACCTGGGACAGGGGCAGCTGGGTCACTTGGGACTGGGACACTGGGAAAAGGGATACCTGGGAACAGGGAAACCAGGGATAGAGACTGGTGGGACTGGGACACCTAGGTCACCTGGAACTGGGACATCTGGGACTGGGAAATCTGGGACTGGGTCACCTGGGAGAGGGACATATGGGACTGGGACACCCGAGTCCCTTGGGATGAGGATAGAGGGAGCAGGGACATGTTGGTCTGGAACATACGGGACAGGGACACTGGGAAGAGGGACACGTGGGACTGGGCCACCTGGGACTGGGCCACCTGGGTCCAAGATGTGGCAACAGGGCCGTCCAGGCACAGGTGGGATGGTGACACCCGGACCCTCTGGCGGGGTGACCTTGGTGTCCCCACCGTGACCCAGTGCACCCACCACGAGGCTCTCCGGGGTGAAGGTCCCGGTGGCACCCCGAGCACCCATCCCTCCCCTTGCCCACCTGTCCGTCCGTCCGTCCATCCCTCCGTCCGGCGCCGCGGCTGCTCCCGGCTCGGCTCCGATGGCTCTGGTGGCCCCGCTGGTGCCCGCTCCACGTGATGCCATGGGCA